GCCGTTTAAGTGCTTGTGATTAGGTTAGTTGAAGACTAAGCAGGGGAGATTACCCAGTAAGCAAGGTGAGCAGGGGCTTACTTGTGCTTCCTTACTGACCTGTAGTGAACAATTTCACATGTATTTCATCACATTTGATGCGCACGTGTGCATGGTTTGGTTTGTGTGTGTTTTCCCCGGCAATGCTGCAGCCCAGCCTAAGGACAAAGATAGCAGATGGTGAGTGAGAGTCAGGGTTGCAGAGTGGCCTGGCTGATAGTTTAGAGGTGTAAGTATCCAGGGTGTGTATGGAGTTGAGTGTGGCCAGAAGAGAGATTAACAGGGTACAGATGGAGAAGTAAGAAGGCCAATAAGAATAGAGAGCTCATTACATTGAGTGTGGAGAAAGGGGAGAAGGTTGTCCTTCCTCTTGACCCTGAAGGAGCAATGGTCCTATTCCCTGGAAGTGACATCATGGATATTAGGATCAGGTCTTGAGATTCTCATGGTTGTCCGGTTAGATGGACCAACAGCTCCCTCTGCCTTAGGTAGTGAGAGAGTAACATGGGCAGATTTGAGGGAGGGGAAAGGGATGACCTCTAGTAGTGTGGGAAAGCTTTGTTGCCTTTCTGAGTTAGAATTTACAGAGTAATAATCAAAGCCTAGCAGCACAGGGAATCCAGTGCATCCTTAATGAACAGTCAGCCTTGAGAGCAAAAGCCACAGACGCCAACACCCTGAAAAAGTGAGAGAGTGAGTCAATGTCTAACTGAGCTGTTCCCTCCCAAATCTTCCTTGTGAGTCAGTCTATGAGAACTAACTGCTTGGTGTACAAAGTCCCTGGACCAAAATGTTTTAAGGAGATTGTTAACGTTGTTCATGGGGTAGAGGAGAATTAGGGAAAGATACAACAGCTGTAAAATAGGATTTGGCAAAGTAGAGAAAACAAGCTTGTCCATTCTTGTGTCTGAATGCTGAACATCTTAAGAGTTTTTTGGAAATGTCTCACCAGTTTTCAAATGCTATCAGCATGTAATAATGCTGATTGAGGCTTAGACAAAGCAGGCAACTGCCTGGGAGAACTCAGTAAGGCTTTGATGCCCCAACAGAATGACCCTCCCTTCCACTGACATGTGTCTGAAACCCTTTAGTTTAAGG